CTAGTCCGTCTGTTATTCCTTGTTTGGAAAGTGTGAGTATTACATTCATCTTTAGCCGTTGGTATTTTTTGTTTGGAAAGTGTGAGTATGATTACATTCGTCTCCATCGTTATGATTTTTGTTGTTTAACAAGTTTCAGCATTACATGCAGCTCCAGCCACATGGTCGTTGTTGTTTAGTAGAGGTTAGAACTCGACAGTTATGATTGCGTGGAAATAATTTGAAGTAATTATTGATAAATGAAAGATTAGACAATGTTATATGTTTCTTTTTGTGGTTTACAAAGACTTATAATTTACTATTTTGTTGATGGAGATGCTTTATACTGTATTTTTATCAAACATTTTTTTAAATCTCAAGGGAAACACGACATTTTAACCAAAATCTATATATTCTAAGAATAAGATTACCAAAGTGGTTAACGCTTCGCGTTTTCAGCAGAGGGCGCGACAATCCGTGATACACTTCCGCACAAGTGTTAACAAACTTCGCGCTTATATATGTACGTGTGTCTGTATTGGTTATAAACTTCGCAACCGTATATTCTTGACCATTCGACAACGTAATAAAAGTTCGAGGATTGCGGTATAGTTTTTTGAGAAGATTGTATAATATAGCGAAACTGATAAACAATACAAAGACAAAGGACACAAAATTTCAAATAATGATATTCTTCAGTGTTTCCATGGAAGCAAAAAACTCATACAGCAGCAAGAGACTCCAAAATCAAAATATTATTAATGGAGTCGTAGAGACCTATCATACAGCGGACTGTTTTAACTTACATCTATGAAGGACGTACCTCAACTTTCAATAGCTTTTACTATCTGTGAGTGGACATATCCCAACTTTCAATAGTTTTACCTTCTATGAGGGACATACATCAACTTTTAATAGTTTTTTACCTTCCATGAGGGACATATCTCCGCTTTCAATAGTTTTTACCTTTCATGAGGGACATATCTCCGCTTTCAATAGTTTTTACCTTCCATGAGGGACATATATCCTCTTTCAATAGTTTTCACCAGGCTCATGAATTTCATACGACATTAAAATTATTTATTTATTTTGGCTAATCTATTGAAAATATCTACAGTTCGTTCTTTTCTTGTGATTTGTTTTATATGATTTCTGCGTAGATCTGTCGGAAAAAGAATAATTGGAGTTTATAACAAACGTAGTTATAAGACTTTATTTAATTCAAATCACTTTGAGATTTGAGCTGTTAAGAAATACAGTTTTCTTCCGAACAATTATTCTCTTTTTATTCTTTAACGTGGAGACACTTGAATGTCAGTTGTGGTCAGAAATGATTCAACTTTTAGAGATACAACTGTTTAAGTTAACATTTATGAACTAAATCGGTAACTTTTTAAATCTCTCTCATGTTGTTTTTAGTGATTGAAAAAAATATGTAATTAGGATTTCATGAGACTAACTTTAGCTTATTTTCTTTTGGGGGGGTTCATAAACGCCAAATAGCATTTGGTAAACTTCCAAAAACAGTTTACGAAGAACCTAAAGAAAATATCAAATTAGGTAATTTTGTTTTCCATTTAGCCCGTGTTGGTGAGAGAAAATATCGATCAGCTCGACTTTCGACCTGTCATCTCAAGCCAAGAAGCGACGGAGGAATATGATGACGTAGAAAACTACTCTGCTGAACCTTTTGAATTACAAAATGAGATAAGTGGTACGTTCTTTTTTGTGGAGATGATTAGAGTAAAAATAAACATGTCAAGCAGCGGTAGTTGTGATAATAGTTAAATAAGTTGTAATTTCTAGTACATTTGCTTACATTTTAGAAAATCTAGACTTTTTTTTTTATAAAGCAAGAGTTTGTATTAGTATAAAATAAAAGTTTATTTCCACAGTTTGCTTTTATATTTGTTAGATTACAAGATTGTCTATTAGAGTTATAGAATCTTCAATTTAGTTATATATATATATACGCACACGTAGGATAGGAAAGATGGGCAAAACAGAAGGTATGTTAAGAAATCATATCGGTTAAAAAGAAGGCTGGCATTATTATATCAACTAAATCTGAGAAATATTTGTCCCCTGGTGGATCACTTTGTAAGTCGTATCAAGATCTATTCAATCTGCTAAACGGGTGTTCGCTAAAACATTTTTATCTTTAAGTAGCTAACCAGGAAATGAGAAGAACTGAGACACGTGCAATTGACCACTTTGTATCCTGGTTTGTGAAACGAAGTAATTTCAGTTTAGATGAATACGTTCTAACTCGGACGCGGTCTTCCACGTGTATTTTCTTTAAAAAATTCATATCATCATAAAGAAAAACAAGTAGGTATAAATTTTAAACAAAAGTAAAACGAATATTAGAATACGATTATTACAATATATATATATATACACACACTGTGACACACACACACACATGAAGTATCACTGAGGGGTGAGTGTGTTCATCCTCGACTCATAATCGAACCCGGAACCTTTCGCGCGCCAAGCTAAAACTTCAACTTTGTAGCTTACTCCTAGAAAGGCTCCATTTAGTAACTTATACCACTATAACAGTTGTTCTATGTAGTGATTTGTAGCGTCACCCCAATATTTTAGTTAAAAGTTGGGGGGTCATCTTTAGAGGTTTGTTATTATCTAGAACAGTGGTTCTCAACAGCCTTATTTGGCTCAGGATCCATTTTATAAACATTGGTGACCGGTCTTGATCCAGTAAATTCCGTTAGTACAAAAAAGAATGACTTACTAAATTCTTAATAAATAATTATATATTTTCACACATTTGGGCAACCCAGTTTTGAGTCGCGCTCCGTGGGTTGAGAAATGCTGATCTAGAAGTAGTGATGGAGAAATCATACCAAACGCTCGTTTTTATATTTTCTACTCATCCCTGGGTTAATTCTAATAATTGTGGAAAAGTTGATTACACTTGAAAACATAAACCAGTAATTTAAGAAAACCGTTAAACTATTACAAAATATATGATTAATAATAAGTTATAATTGTAGTATTAAAAGTTTTCGTTTATTTCCAACAAAGGATTATTATTATAGGACCTCAACTAAACAGTTATTGTAAATTATTCAGTTTGAACCTCTTCTAGTTATGATATATAAGACAGATAATCCTTTCGATTGGACTCCATTATTACAATATTATATATTTTAAATGCATTAATGTATTAATAATTGCTAATTATATGATAAAAAAACAAAATAATAGACCCAGCTGTTAGTGTGGTTCACGTATTATTACATACTCTTCTTTGCGAAAAGCTACACGAGAGCAAACTGCATTAGCCATCCCTAATTTTGATGTTATAGACTTGAGAAAAGGCAGTTAGCTAACCCTTCCATCGTCGACTCTTGGGCTACTCTTTTACCAACGAAAAGTCACCATATAACGCCCTCCCCCCATGAGAGAGAGAGCATGTTCAGTGACAGAATAAACTATAAAACTGGGTACATATAAGCAAAACGCCTGTATATATGTTTCTCGTTTTGATCACCAAAGCTCGTAGGTGAAGTACGTAAAACATATTTGCTCAAAGTACCCGAATAATTATGCTAAACTTATCTGTTTAGAAATATATATATATACAAAAAAACTTGTTAGATAGCGACATGTTTGACATTTACATCAATATTTATTTGTTTTTCATTCTACTTCTTAATTTAAAAGTGGTTTAAATGGGCCGAAGTTATGTAAAACAAACAAATAAATTCTGCGTGTGCGTGATTTCCCAATTCAACCATATGCGTATCTTTTCATATTCATTGTGTAAAACTTCCTAATGTCTAATACTAGCATCTATCCGTAATGGTTGTATGTGTTACTATTTCCAATCTATGTATATATGCGTATCTTTTCATATTCATAGTGTGAAACTTCCTAATGTCTAATACTAGCATCTATCCGTAATGGTTGTATGTGTTACTATTTCCACTCTATGTATATATGCGTATCTTTTCATATTCATTGTGTGAAACTTCCTAATGTCTAATACTAGCATCTATCCGTAATGGTTGTATGTGTTACTATTTCCACTCTATGTATATCTGTGTATCTGCCCGTATAGATTATATGTGATTTCCTATTTCCACAATATATGTATCCGTCGTACTGATTGTATGTGTTTTCCTATTTCCACAATATATGTATCCGTATTGATTATATGTGATTTCCTATTTCCACAATATATGTATCCGTCGTACTGATTGTATGTGTTTTCCTATTTCCACAATATATGTATCCGTATTGATTATATGTGATTTCCTATTTCCACAATATATGTATCCGTATTGATTGTATGTGATTTCCTATTTCCACAATATATGTATCCGTCGTATTGACTGTATGTGTTTTCCCATTTCCACAATATATGTATCCGTATTGATTATATGTGATTTCCTATTTCCACAATATATGTATCGGTATTGATTGTATGTGTTTTCCTAATTCCACCTATATTCATCTATCCGTATCGACTGTATGCGTTGTACTATTTCCACAATACATGTATCCGTATTTATTATGTGTTTTCCCAATTCCACCGTATGTGTATCTATCCGTATTGATTATATGCGTTTCCCTAATTCCACCGTATGTGTATCTATCCGTATTGATTGTATGTGCTTTCCTAACGTACAACACAAGTGTATATAAACCCTTATTAATTGCAGAACTATCAGTGTTCTTTAAATATATATATAGGTTTGTCATCTAACTAATTCCTACGTTTTTATCATTATTACCATCAGGTGATAATGCCGAATGATAAAATATTTCGGTTTTTTAAACTTAATATTATGCCATTTTAGTGTTGTTTTAAGCTGAATTAACACGTGTGTAAAACATAAGTTTTGTCACCTTACACAAAAGTATTTTAAGTTAATTGTAAGACGTCCCCTTCGAAGATTTGTTATTCTAATTTATTGTAATGGAAATGCTAACTAGTAGAAACGCCAGTGGTTAATAGCTGTCAACCTTTCATCGATAGCTTATAATTCGTGGTGCATCTTTGATGACATACACAAGGGAGTCTTGATGCAGGTGCTCACGTGTCGTTAAACGGATTGTGTATCCTGAGGCATGCGTGTTGATCGACCTCGCTGCGATGACTCATCGTGTATGTGCGTACAGTCAGAAATCTTTTTCAGATGTACAGAGTTACACATACAGTAGTTCGGTACGACATCGACCGCTCACTAATGGAATGTTGAAGTGTGTGTGTGTAGCTCAAACCTCCCCATGCCGTACATAACTATCAATATGTCTTATTCTGTTCAAGGATATAAAACAAATCCACAGCCAATGTAATCACTTCACATTTGTTAGGCAGACGGTAATTCCAAATATACTTTTTTCTTATGGTGCAGGTTATATACCATAAATACCACCGGTAGCTACGAGTATGATGGAACATTGGTATGTTTTTATTTTTATGGTGCATGTTATATACCATAAATACCACCGGTAGCTACGAGTATGGTGGAACAGTGGTATATTTTTGTTTTTATGGTGCATGTTATATATCATAAATACCACCGGTAGCTACGAGAATGGTGGAATAGTGCTATGTTTTTTGTTTTTATGGTGTACGTTATATACCATAGATACCACTGGTAGCTACGAGTATGATGGAACAGTGGTATGTTTTTATTTTTATGGTGCAGGTTATATACCACAAATATCACCGGCAGCTACAAGTATGGTGGAACAGTGGTATTTTTTAATGGTGGAGGTTATATACCATAAATATCACCGGTAGCTACGAGTATGGTGGAACAGTGTTATGTTTTTATGGTGCAGGTTACATACCATAAATACCACCGGTAGCTACGAGTATGGTGGAATAGTGCTATGTTTTTGTTTTTATGGTGCAGGTTATATACCATAAATACCACCGGTAGCTACGAGTATGGTGGAACAGTGGTATGTTTTTGTTTTTATGGTGCAAGTTATATACCATAAATACTACCGGTAGCAACGAGTATGGTGGAACAGTGGTATGTTTTTTGTTTTTACGGTGCAGGTTATATATATACCATAAATACCACCGGTAGCTACGAGTATGGTGGAACAGTGGTATATTTTTTGTTCTTATGGTGCAAGTTATATACCATAAATACCACCTGTAGCTACGAGTATGGTGGAACAGTGGTATGTTTTTTGTTTTTATGGTGTACGTTATATACCATAAATACTACCGGTAGCAACGAGTATGGTGGAACAGTGGTATGCTTTTTGTTTTTACGGTGCAGGTTATATATACCATAAATACTACCGGTAGCAACGAGTATGGTGGAACAGTGGTATGTTTTTTGTTTTACGGTGCAGGTTATATATACCATAAATACCACCGGTAGCTACGAGTATGATGGAACAGTGGTATGTTTTTTATTTTTATGTTGCAGGTTATATACCATAAATATCACCGGTAGCTACGAGTATGGGGAAACAGTGGTATATTTTTTTATGGTGCAGGTTATGTACCATAAATACCACCGGTTGCAACGAGTATGGGGAACAGTGGTATATTTTTTGTTGTTCCGGTGGTATTTATGGTATATAACCTGCACCATCCACCATACTCGTAGCTGGTGTACGTTATATACCACTAGATACCACTGGTAGCTACGAGTATGATGGAACAGTGGTATGTTTTTATTTTTATGGTGCATGTTATATATCATAAATACCACC